CTAGGGGAAACAGCGTCTCCCCCAAACCCTTCTGGTCCCCCCTAGTGAGTTTATAGACGGTCACCAGGTCCCCCCTCAGCCTTCTCTTGTGGAGGCTGAATAGGTTCAGGTCCCGCAGTCTCTCACTGTAGGGTCTGCCCTGTTGTCCCCGGATCATGCGGGTGGCCCTCCTCTGGACCCTCTCCATGTTGTCCACATCCCTCTTGAAATGTGGCGCACAGAACTGGACACAATACTCCAGCTGTGGCCTGACCAGCGTCGCATAGAGGGGGAGGATCACCTCCTTAGCTCTACTCGAGATGCACCTGTGGATGCACGATAAGGTCCGGTTAGCCCTGCCAACCATGACCTCGCATTGTCGGCCCATGTTCATCTTGGAGTCAATAGTTTCCGACCCTAGAAACTATGAAACTATGAAGTCCACTCAGTAGGCTTTCCATCTCTTCACCCCTTTATGGGATAGATAGGGGAGGGAAATTCAACATTAACTCCCATTCATTAATAGTGTTTTAGGAAATTCTACCATGACAGTGACCTGTCTTTCCAGATATACCAAGATTCATTTGACCGTTCAACCCACTTAAATGCTCATATCAAGACATCAGTGAAGACTTGTCTCCAATTTCTCAAGACTTCTGGTTCCTTGCACATACATAATTCAGACTTCCAGAGTTCACCTTTATTACAAGGGTGGTTGAAGACTCTACATATTAGTATGCCTCAATTAGATATGTCACTGTATGTTTTACCTGCAAATCCTGTCATAGTTAAATTGATGGAAAAAGACCCTCTGAAAGCCTACTGTTTTATTATTGCAACCAAAGTTATTGGTGATAGGAACCTCCATGCTGAGTTCAGCAGCCATTTAGACCAACCTTTACAGACAAGGTATATGGACTCCCTGGAAATCTGACTTCACATACATGTTTTGGAGATAAGGGCTGTTAGTTGAAAGTGTCCTTCTCACTTCTGAAAGGTCTGTCAATTCAGATCTTATTCCATGACCTTCATCTTTGCTCACTATGCATCTGGTAAAATCGAGTTTCTGTATTGTCAAAGGACATGGGGAATGGTTGGAGTTGCCCCACACTTTTGTCTCTGGTTGGTGGCTTAGGCACTTTCAGAGTGCAGGCACAGCCCTCACTGTACACAGGTAGAATACATATAAAAAAAGCATCGAGATGAGTCACAGTTATTGTAAGAGAGGTAAATGTTATTTCACCTGTACAAAAGATATCTTTACTTTCTTCCTAATGATGAAGAGTATATGCTGATGATCTGCCTAATCACGTCCACCTCAGGAAAGTGAGAGTGGACTAGTGTTATAAAAGTATCACTGTGGTATCAGAAAAGGCAGATTTTGCTTTTCTATTGGGTGTGATTTTTATACCGAGCAGAAAAATCATCATTATGAAAACTCATTAGTTTGTACCCTTTGCTTTTTATTTCAGTGTGTTCTGACATTGAGAATGAACTAGAGACAAGCCAGCAGATGGACAACTTGTACTTGAAAGCGTTGGAGGGATTTATTGCTGTGGTGACACAAGATGGAGATATGATCTTCTTGTCAGAGAACATCAACAAATACATGGGCCTTACACAGGTAATCTGTTCCCTAACACATTCTGGTAGCTGTCTTTGAAACCTAACTCCTAAATACTTGAAATGTGCCTAGTTGGTGTCACTGGAATAGGAACTGGAAGCCCGATGCTTCCTTTACTAAGGGTGTACATGCTAATTGTTAGGCTATAGGGTGATGCTCTTCCATTCTCTCTCCTCCACTCTTTGGCCAAATACCTATTTAAATGTTTCATATGAGGTAGAACATCGCCAACAGCTATGGGTGAGGGAGATCCATGAAGAATATCTGTAGCTTAGCTAGAGAATTTACATGGAGAGTTGGTGATGCTCTCACATACACTGCAGCCATTGTTCCACATATTTGGAGCTGCCAGATTTGTAGAGATCATTGGAATAATGATTTGTAGAGACTATCGGAGATGAGCATACTCAGATCCTGCACCTTGAGCTGTGTTTGCCCTTGGCCTGTCTTTCCACATGTTTTGGAGAACCAGTTCTTCTCCTTCTGGTGTTAACAGGCAGATTCTGTCCCCTGTCATATGTCTGGCCCCTCACAAGTGATTTTTCCAGACAGGAGGAGACATCGTCCAAGACAAAAGCAGGTATTCAGATGTACAGAATGTTAAAGGAACATTAAAAAGCCCATCCATCACCTTGTCCAGTCAAGATATGAGTTACTTGTCATTGTAATGGTTAAATTGAAGTAAACAACTCCATCTACAGAGGGTAGACTACAAATTAATTGCTGATAAAAAAAAAGACTGGGCTTAAATTATTCACACCCTTACAATTAGAGAGAGTTGCATTTAGCCAGTTGTATCTTCAGTTGGAGGCCTGTTGTCTCTGTTTCCAATATTTTAAAACTGAGAGTTCAGCTGGTGCAAATGGGTTGAGCTCTGTGGTCTTGGTTGCTTTGTTGCCAATGTCTAGGTTATAGTTCTAAGCCTAAAAGTTATTTAATGTAGTCTTAGTACCTGCAGATTTTTTTTTATTTTTTTGTTCTATACCTGTAGACAGCAAGTGAAAATTTGAGGCCTATTATACTAATTTGTCTTTTTCTCTGTATTGAATTAATACGTGATCCAAAAGTTTTCTGAAATATTAAAATGTGTTTATATATAAACTGTTTCTCCTCACACTTTGCTAAATATTTTTGAACAGGTGGAATTAACTGGGCACAGCATTTTTGACTTCACTCACCCATGTGACCATGAGGAAATTCGAGAGAATCTGAGTCTGAAAACTGGTAACCAAAAAAAAAAAAGTAGTTTTGTTTTTGCTTTTTAAGTCAATAAATACAGTAACTAACAGGAAGGAGGTATTTGATAATATCCATGTCACTCATGAGCAAAGGGGAATTTTCATTCTTGGAATAGCTATTAACAACAAGAGTTTGAAAACAGTGAAAAGATTGGTTTCGTATGGCTGTGCTAAGAACCTGTTTGTTCTGGTTCTTTTGTGTCATCAGCTTAAGTTGAAGAATCTTCACATGAAACCACCATTTTTAAAGATTGTGTTACAAGTTAAAATGTATGGTTACAATGGACCTGGACCCCTGCACTATTTTTGAAATCCCATTTATACCATTGGGCCCCAGCTCTAGATATTATTCTGAATAGGTGAGGGTCTGCGCAGGGAGCAGTTAGTGGAATCGGGCCTCTTTTATGGGACTTTAATGGGATGTACATCATTTGAAGGGAATTTTTTTCCCTGCAGGAGCTGACTCTTAAAGATGTAAGTACATAGGTGTTGTTATGGAAGGTTGCTGTTTGGCTAAAAGTTTTAGAGAAGTCAAGCAATCTGCTGTTACCTACAATTCCTTTGTTCTTAAAACACAAGAAGCAAGATGTTCCCCCCCAAAAAGAAACCTAACTTCCTCACAAGGTTTATCATCTTATTTTCTCATTGTAGGTCCAAGTTTTGGAAAGAAAAGCAAGGAGATGTCCACAGAGCGTGACTTCTTCATGAGGATGAAATGCACGGTTACTAACAGAGGCAGGACTGTAAACCTTAAATCTGCCACATGGAAGGTACTTCATTTCAGCCCCATTAAGTTCCATGGGTAAAAGATTTTATGACTGTTTATCAAACATACATTTAAAACTAATTCCTTGCTTTAAAATAATTACTTGTTTCAGGTCTTGCACTGCACTGGACAAATTAAGGTGTATAACACTTGTCCGCCTCACAGCCTGTGTGGGTATAAGGAGCCCCTCCTCAATTGCCTTATAATAATGTGTGAGCCCATTCAGCACCCCTCAAATATTGATATTCCACTGGACAGCAAGACTTTCTTGAGTCGCCACAGCATGGATATGAAATTCACTTACTGTGATGACAGGTAAAGAGCCAATTACTGTTCCTGTCCTGGGGGGGTTCTGGTTTATCTTAACTAACGTACCAGCTAATACACAGGATCTTTATTTTCACAACCCTTTTGATAGTTGAGTAAGTTTATATATTTCACTCGCACTAGAGTTATACTCTGTCCTGGCTTGGTCCCACAATAGTAGGGCTGGAGGGCAACCAACAAGAGTTAATGATGCATCAAGTGGTTGCAGGTTTCTAACTGGAAAGGCACGGGCACATAGCACCAACTGAAGGTGACAGGAAAAGTTGAAATGGTAAAAATCCATGTTGATAAAAGGGGATAAGATTAAGGAGACAAGTCTAAGCATCTAGGCTATGGACAGACATTACACATAAACTGGTTTGTGATCAGAAACTGGTTTAAACCTGTAACAGAACGGATGTTCAGTGCACATAAATCAGTTTAAAAATGCCTGAAACTGGTTTGAGATAAACCTGGTTGAATGTAGTATCAAACTGAACTGATTTGGGTCAAATTGGTCTATGCAATGTCTGTCCCAGACCTCTTGCTGGTTTAAGTTAAACCAGACTCCCCCAGCATCCTGGCATGCTCTCTGGGCTGGGTGGGGCTCTTTGCTCCACAGCAAAGGCGGCCCTTCCCCTCTGCTCCCTGGATGGAGCTTGGCAGAGACTGCAGGTGTCTGCCTGGCTTCCCCTGCTCTGTCCCCCCCTTCCCCACTCCCTGCTAAGCAGAGATTGCCCTGTCCACTCTGCCTTGGTAGGTAGCAGACCACATGCTGGCTATGGTCCCGTGCTGTGGCAGACAGGACAAAGACACAATCAGCAGGTAGCTGGTAATGTCCCTCTGTTGTTTTCTTAAGGGTGTGATAAACACTGAGTTATCAATTCCCTGCTGGGCTGGTCAGAAAAGGGGAGAGGGGAAACCCCTCCCTAATCAGAGTGTCTTGCCCAGGACTGGCCATGCCCCCCTCAGCTAGCACTGTGGAAGGAAAGGGAAAGCTACTTTCATGCTTCCCCCAGTTTCTAGTCTGAGCCACTGCAGGCATTTGCCTGCATTTCTGGGATGTCTCTCTGTTTACAGACTGATTTAGCCAGCCAGGTTAAATTAACCTGCAAAGATTGAATCAATTCAGGCTCAGGCTTTTTGAATGTCTGTTCCTAACCCTTGAATGACTAAATCAGTGTAATGACTATTACCAAAGACTGGAAAAAGCATGCAATACACAGCAACACAGACATATTTCTGGGTGACTTAGCTGGAACCACAGTTGATGATGAGAAGGTGCAGGTGGGGAGAACAAGATTTTACTTGCATACTTAAAATAACTATAGGTATATATTTTGTTGAATATTATAAACTTATTGGCAGAAGATGAGACAGTTCAGAGCATCACATTAGTCTTGATCATTTTTAATAACTTTAATGTTAACATAAATCCAGGCTGTTGTTTTAAAAACGAACGCAGAGGTTTGTTTTGATGGCCCTTACTTATGTACAGCCCTATGCCTTGTGGTTACAAATGAAATGAAATTCTTATTTGCTTGGTCCAAAGAGGTTACCAAGCAAGCCAGCTGTACATTACATATTCTCCAATGGAGAATTTATTAGAATTCCTTAATGAGTTTATTGAAGCCATGACGCAGGGATGTATTTTCTGGTCAAGTGAAAAGCAGAGAATGTTTAATTAGTATTTCTCCCCTCCCTTTAATGTTACAACATCTTATACCTAAACTTTCTTAGTGATTTGGACTTTATGTCACTGGAGCAAAAGTCTCACTTCAAACTTTCAGGTTTTAAGTCAATACTGCAACACTTTGCATATTATGATACCAGGTTATCCTTATATTTTAGGAATTGATCCATCTTGGTAGGTGCAGATTGGAAGTGTGGTCCCTGACCCCACAAATGCTCATATGCCAACATGCAGCATAGGAGTCATCCCATAAAAATCAATGTGTTTGGCAATGGGACTCATCTTAAAGTGAATCACATGCATAAGTTCCTATAGAAGCTTTAAGCAGTTAATTTCCTTGATACATTGAGGACTTTTAAAGAGTTGTGAATAAAAGTTTTATTACTTTAAATGATGCAATGCGGCAGCCTAAGGTAGTCATCATGCATGACAACCTTGTATGCAAGATTAGAAATATGACTGGCAACCTGGAACTGAGAGCATAGATGTCTTCAGAACCTAGAAGCAAACATAACGTTGAAATCCTTGTGTAGCTGAGCACCACATGCATGCATATTTAATGGTGGACATGTGAGAAGTTCTAAAGAGAGGGGTGGGCGGG